TTTGTTATATATTTCGCAATGACGCATGAGAGAGAGAGAATACGTGTAGTTAACAGCAATTTTTCATGATTAAGACAATACATCAATACTTGGAGTTGTAGTAATCACAAACAGCGAATCATCTTTTCGCATATTTTGTCTCTGTCAATATAATTCATTTTTTTTTTTTTTTTTTTTTTTGGAAACAATTTTAATGCACGTTGTGTTGATGAAAATATATCAACGAGTATTAATTTATTGCATAATTAAATATATGACTGTAAAACAAAACATTATTCTTTTAAAAACTAAAGTAATACTTGGCAATCCAAATATTGTATAGTTAGTAGTTTTAAATATAATATATAATGAATGAATACAAAATAAATATAATGCTAAAAAATAATAAGTAAAATAATACAAAAGAATATGATTGAAATATTTGGTTCAATTGAATTGAATTTTTATTGATTCTTCCATTGGAAATTATCCGTTATAATTTTAATTAGTTAACTTCATTTCGCCTCATATGTAGAATGTAATTTGTAAAAAGAATAGCAAACTGTCATAATAAATAATTAAATCAATTTATCGATACAGCGTGAGCAATTTGCAATTACAGTGCACATTTCTAGCAGATATAACAAACTAACGCTTCATCGTACTATTTTTTTATCTGTTTACACCGTCTTATTTTGATCACACATAACTGCCTTATATAAATCATTATTCTCATGCTTTTTTGCTCGTATATCTTTTCGGGAATCGCGTGGGATTTGAGGATTCCCTGAATCGATTAACACACATTGTCCAAAATGATGAGGATGTTTAATAGGTACACACCGCGAGCACGTCACAAGATGTCGAAACGACAAGGAACAAAGACTGCGTGACCATAAAGCGATGTCTCATCATCCGAAATTATAGACATAAACAAAGATATATACACAATATCCGGTAATATCCGGTCGTATATGCGCGCTCGCGTAATCTTAGAACATTTGTTTAAGTATCTGTTTATGCAAAAAAATTATGTATTTTAGTAATATCATTCATAGAGAGAGAGAGAGAGAGAGAGAGAGAGAGAGAGAAGTACGTATTAAAAAAATAACGAACAACAATAACACTATCTCGCAGTAATAAAAGTGAAATAAATTTTGTGGCTGTATCAACGAGTGAAAATTTGCGAGATATGCAAGAAAGTACAAGTGCATTGTTAAATAAAACTTATACGCATCAAAAATTTATCAAAAAAATATTTTTAACAGCGACTATTATAATCATAAATTTATTAAACTGATTGAAGAACGAAAAGAGATTTCGAAAAATTCTTGAATTAATAAAAGATTCTCTTACGTGAGTATGTCCTTAGTATTCGATCGAGCGATACGATCAATAATTGTCGATGATAAAAATTAAATGTTGAGAACGCGATATGCGATGCATGATCTACCTAATACTAGAAAATAATAATAATAATAATAATGTGGTGAAATAATTACGGGAGTAAATACAATAAAGTAGAGATTTACACATCCAAAACTGCAAAAGAGAAAAAACAAAGAGTCAAATGGAAAAATTATATAAATTAATAATATTTTAATATTGTCAAAACATCATTTTGCAACAAATGCCAAAGAAAATCATATCGTCTTGGATAGTATTTTTGAAACGAAACCGCGACCCTAATTCGCGATCCGATGAAATCACAACGAACTTTCTCGTCGTTTGGTACAATTCGACAATTTCGATAATTTTTTTAGCTGAAAAAAGACTCGGGAAGGGAGGACAAGCGGAGAAAATCCTGTCGGGGATTCGATGTCATGTCGGAAACGTGAAAGCAACAATCGGCCGAAATAATCTCGGCGGGCGCGATCTCACGTGCACTCGCGCGTCATCATCGTCAGATGTCATCGATCGTCGGTCGGACGTTCGAATGCCGCATGCATGCCGATTCAAGATTCGCGCTGAAGGAAAGAGACGGGGAGAATACCTGGAAGGGATGCGGAGGGCGCGTTCATAGCGCGGGGAATCGATAACGGCGGAGGAAGGCAGCGCGTCACGGGGAGGCCACGACGACCACGATCGCGACGCATGACGCAGGTAAAAATGGGTCGCGTGACGCGAAGCGCGCGTTCTCCAATCGGCACAATTCAGCCGCACTCGGCCGCCGATTTTCCCAGCGTGATAAAAACCGCCCGAGAAATCACGCGGTGATTTCTGCCGGGAGCCTCTGGCTGGCCTCGATTGCGAATCATGCTTTTGTCGTTCCTCTCTCTCTCTCTCTCTCTCTCTCTCTCTCTCTCTCTCTCTCTCTC